TACCAGTATTAGCTTATAGAGACCACAGCTAACGTATGTACCACTATTAGCTTATAGAGACCACAGCTAACGTATGTACCACTATTAGCTTATAGAAACCACAGCTAACGTATGTACCACTATTAGTTTATAGAGACCACAGCTAACGTATGTACCACTATTAGCTTATAGAGACCACAGCTAACGTATGTACCACTATTAGCTTATAGAAACCACAGCTAACGTATGTACCACTATTAGCTTCCAGAGACCACAGTTAACGTATGTACCACTATTAGCTTCCAGAGACCACAGTTAACGTATGTACCACTATTAGCTTATAGAGATCACAGCTAACATATATACCACTAGTAGCTTATAGAGACCACAGTTAACGTATATACCACTATTAGCTTATAGAGATCACAGCTAACGTATGTACCACTATTAGCTTACAGAGATCACAGTTAACGTATGTACCACTATTAGCTTATATAGACCACAGCTAACGTATATACCACTATTAGCTTATAGAGACCACAGCTAACGTATATACCACTATTAGCTTATAGAGACCACAGCTAACGTATGTACCACTATTAGCTTATAGAGACCACAGTTAACATATATACCACTATTAGCTTATAGAGACCACAGGTAACGTATGTACCATTATTAGCTTATAGAGACCACAGCTAACGTATGTACCACTATTAGCTTATAGAGACCACAGCTAACGTATGTACCACTATTAGCTTATATAGACCCGCAGCTAATGTATATACCACTAATAGCTTATAGAGACCACAGTTAACGTATATATCACTATTAGCTTATAGAGACAACAGCTAAAGTATATACCACTATTAGCTTATAGAGACCACAGCTAACGTATACACCATTGGTAAGTATAATACGGATAACGTATAAATCCCCATTGTTAAGTAGACCAGCAAAATGTATGGATTACCGTTAATTCGACCACAGCTAACGTATATACCACTATTATCTTATATAGACCACAGCTAACGTATACATCATCGTTAATTAGACAACAGCAACTTTATAGAACATTGTTAATTTATATAGAACACAGATAACGTATAGAACATTGGTAAGTTATATAGACCACATCTAACTTATAGAGTATTGTTAAGTTACTTAGACCACATGACCATGAATAAAAGTGTTATTCGTTATTTTCCTATATTGTATAATGATATACATATCTGTAATTAACCAATCATATTTATATGAATCTTTATTTACAGCAGAAATCTACACAATGAGATACCTGTGCTCTGCCCAACATGGCTATCGAAACCAGATTTTTAGCGTCATAAGCTGGCAGACTTGCCGCTGAGCCACTGGTTAGCTCACTAAAAATGTCCAAACACTCAAGTCAAAAATAGAAGTTATCTTCCAGGTTGATTCTCTATCCAGTTATATACGTGTTTATTATCATCCTAGTTGTGCTGTGATACTTAGCTTGAGAATGTGTCGTTCTCTGTACGGTCTGTCTTGATGTTACTTTATCAGCACAGTGTTGTGTAAGCGGTGTTTATCATACTGATAATGTGTAACACTTGAGTTGAGAATGTGGCGTCCTCTGTACGATTTTTCTTGGTGTTAGTTTATCAGCATAGTGTTGTGTAAACGGTGTTTATCGTACTAATTATGTTGTAACAGTTGAGTTTAAAATGTGGCGTCTTCTGTACGATTTTTCTTGGTGTTACTTTATCAGTCTGGTGTTGTGTGTTTATTGTCTCCCTGGTTGTGTTGTTCCTAATGAAACGCTGAGGTTCCCACAGACGTTTCCTCACTCAGTTGAAGGAAGAGCACTACAATGACACTGAATCACGATAAATGACACGCAGTAGCGCAGACAATGGATCAAGCAGTTAGAAGTATAGGACATGAAACAAAACATATGTGACCACTCATACTCCATCTAACGGTGGTAAATCGAAGTTAAAGAAACAATCTCACATCGACTTTGGTGTGTGAGTTTACTGAGTTTATCTTTTGCTGCTACAAGTTTATTTAGTAGAAAAAAGAAAACAGGATTTTTAAAATTTTATTTCTATGAAGCGGTGAAAAAAAGATAAATGGTAGAAGCTACTAATTGTTTTATCTGTCTCATTTCATCCCATCTCAGGTTGGTTATTTTGTGCTTCTTAACTTCATTTCATTCATCAGCTGGTTAAAAAAAGAGAAAATCTGAAACTCGACAATATCGGTTAACAAAACACAATCTGTTTGAAAAACTAGTGAACCTGATAGGCCTTGAGAGAATGAACAAGAATACACGTTGTTGTGGAAAAAAAAAGCTTACATGAACTGACAGGAACTGTTTTGGGTTTTTGACAACAAGGCACGTCCAGGAGTGCTTGTAATAAAGTCACTCTCCTCGTATGACCGGCTATTTTTATGACTAGTAGAACACTAATTCGGCCTTACTTAGAATATTGTATATAGATCAGATTTTCTTATCTAAGGCAGTATCCCGACTTATTCCAAAGTGTTCAGAAGAGGGTTAAAAGGATGGAAGGATTATCTTATATGGATAAATCAGGATATTTTAACTTTATTTTTATTTTGAGAAAGTAAAAGTAACCGGTATTAAAAATTACTGGATTTGGCGAAATAAAGGATACCAGTTAAGGTAGTTTTATTTTTATAACAAGGTTTATTCGCTTGTGGAGTTAATTGTCATAGACAATAATAGATGACGCCACTGTTCAGAAGTATTTAAAAGAGAACAAACGAATTCTTAGAAAGGAAAGGGTAGGTTTATATTTTTGAAGAGTTTGGTTTATCGGACAGTCTTTGTTGTCCTTAATGTTATGTTAAAACGTTACTAATATGGCATGGTAGGATTTGTATCGATTGTTCAGAGATATGCAAGTAGAATAGGGTAGGGATCGAGAAATAGGAACTTCAGTTTTGTACTGAACGAGAAGCTCTCACAAACTACGAGTGTTATTTTTATTTTCCAGTTGTCCACTCTCTCAGAATTGTGTCTCTAGATATTCCTCGAAACGTTGAAATTGGCCAAAAGGTGGAGCTCATGTGCTACTACGACTTAGGAGAAGACCAGCTCTACTCAATCAAATGGTATCGAGATAACATAGAATTTTTCCGTTACATGCCGGGAGACAGACCTCATCTCCACTACTTTCCAATAGAGGGGATTAAAGTTGATGTAAGTCAGTAAATAGTTTGTTTTGTTTTGTTTTGAATTTCGCGCAAAGCTACATGATGGCTATCTGCGCTAGCCGTCCCTAATTTAGCAGTGTAAGACTAGAGGGAAGGCAGCTAGTCATCACCACCCACCGCCGACTCTTGGGCTACTCTTTTACCAACGAATAGTGGGATTGACCTTCACATTATAACGCCCTCACGGCTGAAAGGGCGAGCATGTTTGGTGTGACGGGGATTCGAACCCGCAGTAAATAGTAAATATGGAGTAAACAAAAACTTAGAATAAGCTTGTGTCAATCTTTTAAATCTTACCATAGAGTTTCAAACTTAGCACAGAGCTATGTTACAAATCTTTTAAATATTACCATAGAGTTTCAAACTTAGCACAGAGCTATGTTACAAATCTTTTAAATAGTTTGAAACTCTATGGTAACATAGCTCTGTGCTAAAAGATTTAAAAGATTTGTAACATAGCTCTGTGCTAAGTTTGAAACTCTATGGTTTCCAAATCTTTTAAATCTTACCATAGAGTTTCAAACTTAGCACAGAGCTATGTTCCAAACCTTTTAAATCTTATCATAGAGTTTCAAACTTAGCACAGAGCTATGTTCCAAATCTTTTAAATCTTACTATAGAGTTTGGTTCTAAATCTTACCATATATTTTAAAACTTAGCACAGAGTTTTCTTCCAAATTGTTTCAACCTCAGCACAGAGTGTTGTTTAAACTCATTTAAATATTATTACAAAGCTTTGTTAACTCACACCGTAACTATTTAACTGAAGTTAAACTTCCATTTCTGTGTTTTATTGTAAACTTGTAGTAGATTTTGTTGAAATGTATTATATTTTAATTTTGATTACCTCATTTGTAAATTATTAAAATTACTTTACTGAATGGATTGCTCTTACAGAAAAAAAAATAGAGTCAGGTATAAATGGAACATTAATTAATATGTCCAAAAAACCTGTCTTAGAACTTTCACATATTACCTGAAATAAATCGAAAAAACATTTCCAGTTAAGGAAGTCAAGCAAGAATTCTGTGTATCTTTACGACGTTGGAGCTCTGACCGAGGGAAAATTCAGCTGTGAGGTCTCCGGTGACACTCCCGGTTTTAGAACGGTTTCAGCATCCAAACGGATGACCGTCGGAGGTAAGAAAAGAGATAATATTTTCTTGTTAGACACGGGATACTTCCCAAGTGATTTAATTCAAAAAACAAACGTATTAAATTAATTACATGCTATTTCACTTTTTTACTAACAGATGGCAATGCATACACACACAAATCCCATCATTTAGATTATATTATCTAGAATTTTAAGCAAAATGGGACTTGTAGAAGAACGCAGGGGATCAACTGTTTTCTGACCTTAAGTCAAATGTCAATAAGTATCTGGACAAGTTCAAGTTACAACAGAACGTTTGGACTGGAGAGTTGTCTCCTTCTGTACAGTTAAATATAACTGACAGATTATCGCCAACTTTTTAGGGTTCTTACTCTGTAGATACCTCTCATGTTAGGCTACATTACCCAATTCTGATAGCTTAGTTATTTTTATATATGTTTGAAATTTCTTATTTATATATCGTCTCGCAACCAGAGCTCAAAACATTACCCAATATTTAACTGACAATCCATCAACTTAGTGAAAGAAACGTGCCTTAAAGTGAAGGTTTATTACACTTGTGAGAGGCTTTCCTGTTAGTAAGGTATAAACCGATACTGAAGAAGAGATAACACAATTCATCGAAATTACTTGTAAAACCTCGGACAAAACTTAAAAAGCATGGTTTATACTGTGCAGAATAACTGACTGAAGAACCTAAGTTACATGTGGTAGAAAAAAAAAACGTTACGTGTTGTTTATACTGTGCAGAATAACTGAATCAAGAACCTAAGTTACATGTGGTAGAAAAAACGTTACGTGTTGTTTATACTGTGCAGAATAACTGACTCAAGAACCTAAGTTACATGTGGTAGAAAAAAACCGTTACGTGTTGTTTATACTGTGCAGAATAACTGACTCAAGAACCTAAGTTACATGTGGTAGAAAAAACCGTTACGTGCTTACTAACAAAATACTACATCATTTGTATAGGAATTAAAGATGTTTACTTCAGTAAAACGTGTTTTTTACAGATTAAAATACAAACCAATTAAGAAGACAATAACTGAGGACAGTGTGTCAATTTAAATTGATTAATTAATGTTATTTTTATTTCACAGGTACCAATAATGAATCAAGTGCTACTTTCCAGCTTTCTAGCATCATTTACGTTGTTTCAAGCTGCTTAGTTCTTCTTCCTCTTCATCTGCAGTATCTATAAAAACTATGGAGAAAAAATCGGCAAAGTTATTTACACAAAGTTTGTTCAAAATATGTAAAAATATTGAGAAAATCACTTCGAGTTCGTTAGATGCTCGTCAGGTTAGAACTTAGAGAACCCGGTTAAACAAACAAACTGACTTTATAAAGTAGTTAGGTAATGTCGGTTACTGAAGTTGTAATAAAAATATATATTTTTTAATTTTGGCTCTAAGTAAACTGTTTATTGTCTCGCACTTGTTAAAAATCCATAAACAGTTTCGGGTTTCACTTGTTTCAGCATGCCTTATAAATACATAAACAGTTTCAGGTTTCACTTGTTTCAGCATGCCTTATAAATACATAAACAGTTTCAGGTTTCTATTGTTTCAGCATGCCTTATAAATACATAAGCAGTTTCGGGTTTCACTTGTTTCAGCATGCCTTATAAATACATAAAAAGTTTCAGGTTTCACTTGTTTCAGCATGCCTTATAAATACATAAACAGTTGTTTCACACAAGTTTAACAGTTCTATGTTCTCACAAATTGAACAAAACTATAATTTTCTACTTCTTACGTATTTACAACGCTAATAAAAACAAACAGGATTTTATTTGACAAAATGTTGAGAAACAGTAAAAATAAACGTGTTTCTCTCAAGTTGCAATAATCATATCAGAACAAACAACAAAATCCTTTTTTGCAAATCAAGAACTGAGTGAAAATTTCATACGATTTCAGCAATTATAATATTTTTGTCCGATCCCAGTTTGAAAGATAATTTTAATCAATATTCCAAACTGTTAAAATAAATGGTTTCTAACGGCTAACAATAAACAAAATTAGCTAGTTGCCTTAGAATATCACACATCAGCAAATAATCTGTCTATAGATTCTGGGAGTGTTAAACCGCAGAAGTATTTCGACATTCGTCCGAGAGATCGTAGCAAGAGTAAGGCAGGTGATATCTAATCAGTGCCGGATTAACGCAAAGAATGACGGGCTGCAGCTTCAGGGTCACCGTTGACTTAATCCACCCTGTACCCAAGTGATTTAATCCAAAAAAACATACGTCTTAAATTAATTACATGCTATTTCACTTTTTTGCTAACAGATGGCAGTGCATACACACACACACACAAATCCCATCATGAAGATTATATTATCTAGGATTTTAAGCAAAATTTGTATTTCGACATGGAATAAATTTTGTGTGCGAGCTTTCTATGATAAAAGGCCTAAAAGTTTGATTACTGTGTATTTTCTTGTTAATTATATTAACGACACTGTAAAAATGTCTCTAATAAAGTATATTTGTAGCCATTTTGATTAAAGTTTTTCTTGACGTCTGATCAATGATGATAGTGTCGAGCGTGATAACTGAGCGAAAACCAAAAGTCAAGGATAATAAAACGCTACTACATTGTAGTAACGTTCAGATTCTAACTCTCGATTTACGTGAAACGAGACAGAATTGATTTCCGTTTCATTTTAAATCTTGTCAAAAAGAATTCTCAGCTCAAGCTTTCTCTTGGAGTTGTTTTCTCGTAAACGTTTGATAAAAATGGGTATAAGTTACTTTAATAACACGTTCCTTACCTTAATTATGCTCATGCATCCAAAACATGGGTTCTCAAAGTTTTTCAGCACAAAGCCCCACCCTCAGAACGTTTCGCATCCTGATTTAAGTCGCCACACACGCACGTGCCCATTTAATCTATAGATACTGAGTTCCCAGTCTTGTGTACTTTTTTGTACTTGATAAGTCCTCTCCGACGCTTTCCTGTGGGCTCCAGTTTGGCAACCCCTGATCTAAAATATGAAGGACTATATAATTTCAAAATTGTAGAGTATGGGAAGTGATGATAATCTAACCAAACTCTTGATTCTCGTTTTGTACAAATGTAATAATAAACACTTCAAAGTATTACTTGGAACTTTCTGTTTCACTGTTAGGTTGTTTTCTGTGTTAACCAAGTTGAAAATGGCTCACTGTTAGGTTGTTTTCTTTATTAACAAAGTTGAAAATGGCTCACTGTTAAGTTGTTTTCTGTGTTAACAAATTTGAAAATGGTTCACTGTTAGGTTGTTTTCTGTGTTAACCAAGTTGAAAATGGCTCACTGTTAGGTTGTTTTCTGTGTTAGCCAAGTTGAAAATGGCTCACTGTTAGGTTGTTTTCTTTATTAACGAAGTTGAAAATGGCTCACTGTTAGGTTGTTTTCTGTGTTAACCAAGTTGAAAATGGCTCACCGTTAAGTTGTTTTCTGTGTTAACCAAGTTGAAAATGGCTCACCGTTAGGTTGTTTTCTTTATTAACTAAAACCTCCCAATAATAAAAAAAGCTTTGACTCTAATAGCTCACGAACCAAATGGAATTTGAAACACGTCTGTCAGTTCTGTAACGTAAAGAATCCTCCTCTTAAGCCAAGAATGTTAATCGGGACGTGTTATATAGTTATGTATACATTTATTTCAACCACTTCCTGATTGTTTTGTTTTTCGTGCCCACGTGATGTATATTCAGAGCTAGTCAACTTGATATAATTAAGAACGTAGTTGTCACATTAGAACGATCACAGTCACCTTGGCAACATAGCCATCTATATCTCTTCTGTTTGCAACGCTTGTATAGAATTTAGATTATCCACACATATATAACACATAAAAATAATCTTAAAGACCCACTCTAAATTCACATACGAGTAAAACCTAAATAAAAATTATGGTACTAAGCCTAACTGTCGATTTTAAGGTACAAAATGCTATTTCCATTTCAAGTTCTTAAAGTATTAGGCCAACCAATAATTTCTTTAACTTCCAAAAACCATGAAGCTAATAAACAGTTTCTACATATGTGAAGCTACTGGCTAATTAGCGTACGTCGCTTTTCTCACTTTCATTATTTCTCAGAGACTGTCGTGGCTGAATGTTTAACATGCAAAATTGTGAATCTGAGGATCCATTGTTCGCGTTCCATTACTGCATTACGTGGGTGCATTATAAGTGTGACAGTCACGTCTCACTATTCGATTATGATAACCCAAGAGTTAGCAGTGGGTGCATTTCCTCTAGCTTATCAGTTCAAAATTAAGGACGGCTAGCGCAGATAGCCCTTGTGTAACTTTGTGCGAGTATACGAAATAGAACGCCAATCCTTTCTGACTACATTAAGGATATAAAATAAAGTGGGCGTGTGTGAAATAACTGAAAAAAAAGGAGCTTGTTGATAAAAAATGTTTAAAGAAATAACGTAAATAACTAACAAAAATCGTTCGTTGTGAAGATGATTAATGTGATGCCCCCTGTGGACTAGCGGTAAGTCTAAAGGCGTATAACTGTAAAAACTGGGTTTCGGTACCTATGGTGAGCAGAGCACAAATGGTCTATTGTGTAGCTTTGCGTTTAACAGTGAATAATAAACCCTATGGTAGATCTCTGGATTCTGAAATTGGCGATCCGCGTTCGAATCTATGCTATACAACAAAATATTTCTCCTATTTTAAGCTGTGGGTGATAGGGTGCTGCTGAATGGTTGCGTTCCCTCTGGTCTTTAGTTAAAAGTTAGGGATGGTGGTTAATAGATAATAGCCTATTTAGCTTTGCCACAAATAAAAATACAAATACCGCAGATATGTCAAAATGCCTTTTCGATTGAAGTCTAGACAGTGTAATTCTACGTTTCATGGATTCCATTTTTAACTACAACAAAATAACGCCAAGTTCCTTATATATATATATTATTGGAATTGAATTATAAATTAAGATATGTGCAACCTGGTCGACTAATCTTTTTTCTATAGACCGCTTAGCCATAATTACGAAACTGAAAAATGATACAGAGTAAATAATAAAAAAGTTGTTTAAAACATCGTGATAAAGGTGAGATTTAGTTTAGTTAGCCCTAGTTAGTATTAATAGCAATCACCAGGTATAGATTCTATAACAAATAAGAAACAATCTAAATACCTTAGCGATAATTGTGTTATAATGTCTGCCTTTTCATCGTCTGCCTATTCTTGTCTGCCATTTGTTTGGTATTGGGATCAGAAAAGAAAACAATATTTAAAACTTTTAGAGATTAATTTTCTTCCAATGAAATTCACATGTTTAACATAAGTTACAAATAAATTCATCAGATGGAGACACCATCGAATATGGTATGTTTTCAGAGATGAGTACAAAGAGGCTCTATTGTCAAATCTTTACATTTAATAGACAAACAAAGAGAACGAAAAATATATTATTCCTAACTTTTCTACGTAGAAACAACAATTTCAAACAGTTTTCTGAATATTGGTAGGTGTATAACTGAACTGTTATGTTACTTTTAGAATCAGAATGAAGAGGTGTCCAATCTAGGCGACAAATAAAAAACAAAAGACACACATATCACGCTCTACAAATAGTCTGTTCTAGTTTTATTTATCTATCCCACATGTGCAGCGCCTTTTGTACAAATCAATATATATTTAAAATAAATAGATAAAGGAGGAAAATATATACTTTAAGAAAGATGGCGGAATTCATGTCATAGAAACTACAAACGCCATAACACCCAAAATTAGCTTTTAATAAAACGCTAGTAAAAATAAATTTATTGCAAACTGCTGAAAACCAATGATAATAAGGGTTAACGTGTGGGTGTTTAAACCCGCTACATCACAAATCGATCTACTGTTGTGGATGGGTGTGATCGTCACCCTGTAATACAAATTAGAAAGTTAAACAAATCAAAAGTTAGATTATAATATCTTAACACTGAAAAGTTAAATCAGATATCGCGCCATCTACCGACAAAATACATAATTGAATACAATAACAAAATTATGCAATATAAATTCGCGCCATCTACCGACAAAATACATAATTGAATACAATAACAAAATTATGCAATATAAATTCAAATTGTAAAGTAAGAAATATGAAGTTGCAAAGAAATTAGCTATTTAGGTTAATAATTTGGGGCTGTCTCCCCCTACCCCACTCCATCTGTTGAACACAAACTAAGAAAATCCTCACTTGAAGTTAATCTTTTCAATCCCACCTGCATTATTTCTCTTATTTTTTCTTCCGTGTTCTCATAGCCTTGGGGACCAAGAAACCTTCAGCACATTAAAGTTACATCTACATACAGGAGTCAAATCAGAACGTGTAGTAATGATGCTATTACTTATTTATTGAAACTTTAAAATACTAAAATAAATATGAGGCCCAGTCTACCATGCCGTTCATCGCTTGTCACTGCGTTATACAGGTTTCGAGAAACTTCACATCTCGTCAGTAATAATGAGCAACAGCATTTCAAAAGAACAAGACTAGTATTCTTATAGTGGCGTATATTAGTAGTTTCACTTGTTTTTTTTTAACTCAACACAATAAACTTCTTATAGTGGCGTATATTAGTAGTTTCAGTTGTTTTATAACTCACCACAATAAACTTCTTATAGTGGTGTATATTAGTAGTTTCAGTTCTTTTATAACTCACCACAATAAACTTCTTATAGTGGTGTATATTAGTAGTTTCAGGTTTTTTTGACTCACCAGAATAAACTTCTTATAGTGGCGTATATTAGTAG